AGACCCCTCTAGCCAAAAGGAGCGAGTCCTTGAGGAGTTCGTCGCTCGCCTTCGACCTGACATAAGGTATTACGTCAAGCTTGACAATCCTACCTCTTTTGAGCAGGCTGTATCTAAAGCCTCAAATGGTAGAACAGCTGTTAGCGGAAGCAACAGCCAACCGTCCCTTTTATGCGCGGACTTCAAGGCAAATCGCGAGATCCTCGAAAGGTATCTAGCGAATCCCAATCGCCGGGTGAACATGCCCGAGGAAGACCAGCACGAGTACGAGATCGCAGAGCGATCCGTCTCCAATTCCGTCGCAAGGATGGTCCGCATCATGTTCAGGGTATGCCCTCCCGCCATTATATGCATGACCACAGCCTCCCTCCTTAACACTGCGGACATTGCAACGGTATCTTCCGCAATCACATAGGCGAATACGGCACCATAATCGGCGACGAAGCATCGCAGATCCCGGAACCGGCTTTAGCCACCATATGCAGCCGCCTCCCAATGCACGTCACCGTTACATCGGAGACGTTCACCAACTGGAGCCCCATGCCCGTTGCCCTCGAACGGCCAATCCTGCCCGCTACGGCGCTCGCGGAATCATGACGGTTCTGGTGAACGCTGCAGCCGTCCCCGTCGCTCCGCTCGTCACCACTTTCCGAGCACATCCCGAGCTCAACGCGCTACCTAACGTAGTCGCTTATGATGGAGCGCTCGTCAGTGGAGCTGACCCGGCCGCACGCCAGCTGTTACTCTCGGTGACCCAGCTACCCAATCCCAAGGTGCCTTTCCTGTTCGTGGACGTCAAGGGACCTTCAACGAAGGCCCTGAGCAAGTCTCATTATAAGCACCAATGAGCAAAGCGTCTGTCTCCAGCTCATCAAGCTGTTGCTCGCTAAAGGGCTCACTCCCCCTCAGTTGTGCGTGATATCCTTTTACAAGGAATCACTGCATCTGCAGCACAAGTTGGACGCACTCAGGGTCGAGCTTACGACAGTCGACTCAGTTCAGGGACGCGAAAAACAGGTAGTCATTCTTTTGACAACGCGCACTAATTTTGCCCCTGATTCAGCCGACTTCCTGGATGACTACCGCCGGATGAACGTAGCAATATCACGATGTCGCCATGGGCAATTCATCCTAGGCGAAGTCTCTTCGCTCGTCGTCGTGCCGTTCTGGAAGAGAGTGGTAGATTGGGCCACCAGTATCAACGCCGTCGCTCCCGCCGATCACTTGGAGCGATATTTTCGTGAGTGAATCCCCACTCCCCGCCTCGGTAAGCTCATCATTTCTTTTCTAAAAAGTCCGGGACGGACTTTGGGTAAAGGGGGGAGGTGTAAGCGGTGTGTGGTGTAGTCGACCGTACTCCACGATGACTCATGCCTTTTCAGGGCGGAGCGACAGTCAGCTGGATCGAGGAGACGACCAGCAGCAACGACCGAGGTCCGCGGCCTCATCTCTCTCTTCCTAAGGGCGAAGCCCTCAACATCCAGACCTGCCTGCTTGATCTCCGTTCATTCTTATGTGCGTATCGTATACACGTAGTTGTCTTACTTCAGAATACTTTTGCCTTCGTAAAGTGCCATGTACGTCGTTATGTGTGTAGTATGTTCGGTTCTTTCGTCTTTTCCTTATGTACTCATATGCCAGATAAACTTTAGTACTTATCGGTGTCAAAGCAGGTAGTGGTGCAGCTTCCATTGCGTGGCGTTCGCTTACTAAACTGAGTGAAAACAATTTGACAAGAAAGGGCAATTTTAACCGTCTTATTGGGCTCTGTTGTGGCTGTAACTTTGAGAGTGCATAGTTTATGAGGTGTTCCTTTCCTATGTATCGAAAAGAGAGCAAAATAAAGTCAAAAGAAAGTGCATGGAGAGAAGTGGTACCAAAGTTACTTCAACGATTCCCGCAAGTCACCGTTTCGTGGCCGACGGCGGAGTGGATAGTGCGGTGGGCTATCGAGAAGGAGGTTTGTGGATCGGATCCTCTTGGCGACGAACTTTTTGCATTTTTCGGATACTTTTTGCATTTTTCGGATTTCCGTCTCCTTGTGTTCCTGCGTGCGTGATGATGTATATAACATGGATATATGCCATTTAAGACCTCATTCTGTACACTCAAAGTTCACGAGTCGACCCTACTTAACTATTGCGCTCTCGAAACATTACTGAGGAAACTCTTGCTGAAAGTTGGGCTACGGGGATGACTGGATGCCCTACTCACGAGTACGACACTCATTTTTGACCACGGCGCAACCTATCGCCGATTTGCTGCAAGAGCATTCTTGCACTGAAATCGTTGTCAACCCGCACGCAGGGGCTGTTAAGCGCCATGCTGGCGTCAAATGGCCTCGGCGCATAAAATAAGTGTCAGAATCGTGAGCGGGGCTACCAATTACTCCTGTATACGAACTTCCAGCAAAAAAAATTTCGGAGGTTTTGGTGATAATGGACCGACCACTTGGTTGGCAGTGGCACCCGATCAGCGCACCCAGCGTAACTGGTTCCACTTTAACTTTCCAGGTGTAGATATTGTGCAATACATATATGTCCCTTTTTGAAATTTGTAGTTGTTAGTTATGAGGGTATATACTAGTAAATAGAAAGGTCCAGGTATCGAAGTTGGATAACTACTTGTACAGGATACTGATAGCCACCAGTTCACCAACCATCATAGCTCGAACAGCTCGAGGAGAAAATTTCCGCTGAAAGTCTGTATATAGAGGTTATTAACGGCCCTGATCACGGTTCTGACCTTTATAATTGGCGCCTAGGTCATTTGGCGCCAACATGGCTCTGAATACCCCCCCCTGACTGCGGGTTGGGATGCTGCGAGAAACTGCAATGCTATGTACCTCACATGTGCCAAATAAAGTACTTTTTTCACCTTGACTTGTATTGTTTTCGATGCAGTGTCGACGAAGGTCTCATTTGCTATGCATACTCGACATTAGAAATAGAAAAGAGCCTAGAAAAATGGTTCAAAATCGCTTTTCCTCAGCAAACTTTTCACTCATTTTTTGACCATTCCCAGAAATGCATAGCAAAAACGAAACCCATTTTTGTGATCCTTATATGGACCCCTACAACATGCAACAAACCATTTCTGAAAAGCGCGCCACGACCTGAAAGACCTCCCTTGTAAGTGGCCCAATTCGCTGTAAACCGCTTTCCAGAGATAGTTTGAATTTCGAACACGAATATCGCATGTGCTTGATCCAAAACCGCCTGGCACCTGCATTACATGCGACGGTATCTTTCTCTCACCTGGGTAAGTGAACCCTTCCCTTCGACTGAGCTTAGCTTCAATAGAGGAAAGGGAAACGGTCCCGAGGGGGCGCAGACGAGTGGAAGAAGGACGCGCTGGGAGACGGTCGCCAGGACCACGCGTTGCAAGCACAGCAATCTGCAATTACCGCGGGCTTGCAATAGAGAGCAGGCTCGCGGCAAACTCATTGCATTTGACTTAGATTGTGTTTGCTTCAGTTTTCAGCAGCGCTCTTAGTCAATTTTTGTTTTATCTGCATAATCAGGGTGATTACAATCATAGTGCACAGAAACCTGCTCAGATTCTGCTCGCGGGTTAATTTTGAAGTAGCCAGTCTCCTGGTCATCTGACTGGCTCATATCTATGATCGTCCGGAAGGCAGTGATGAGCATTATCCTAACCATAAGATCGGATGTTCCGTAAAATGTCGCGAGAACGCGCTAATTCCAGGCATCTGAAGTTAGTCTGCGAGTGAGATGGACCATACAGAGTGCTTGAATCAAAGACATATTGAATGGCTTGATGATAGATAAAGTGCAATCCTTGCACAAGTAGTCCGATCATACAGGTTCCCCACTTTCGCTTGTCGACGCAAATGAAGGGGAAGGGCCTGCGGCTGTCATTGGTCGAGTGAATGCCACCTTTAGAAGACGCCCAGCCATAAAGAGAAGTGGAAGACGAATGAGACAATAAAAGTCGGTTTTGCACAAAATGTACGCAAGAGGTCAAATTTGCGTTCACAGATTTAAGCCCGCTTGCAATTCTCGCCCTCAGATGGGACGGGCAACTTCTATGGAGGGCCTTTGTTCCGCTTACGACGGCCGCAGCCCATTTGACAAGACAGATTCTATCTACAAGGTGATCGAAGAATATGTCTTTAACGACAAGTAACCAACAAGTAGCACTAGTGCACAGCCATTGCGCCAAACCAAGCAAATATGATTTGTTCGACGTTGTATTGCTTCTTGTCCGTTATTGCTCGTTTGGTCCGATCATTATCCAACATTTGAAAGGCGTAAGATCGACTACTAGCGGAACAAGCACAAGCATTAGCACTCTTTTGTTTTCATCAATTTCTACCTTTTTGCTACGATGTCCATGTTTATCGTACCAATTAAATGAAATGAACGCTTAAAGGCCCCTCTCGCCCTCGTTTGATGCGCAGATAGGTACCTCCTGCACATCAGATGAATGCGAGACGAGGTAGTCATGCCTCCAAGCGTAGAAGATGTAGGTCACACCCAAAACACATGAGAAGAACACTACCCGATTCCGACGAAGGCAATCCCCTACCCGTTCCCCATGCCACTTTCACCATCTAAAGCTCTCTTGTGGCGCGGTTGTTTCGTTACTAGTCCTGTATATTCCAAGGGGCTGATGTTGTAAAAGAGATGATATTGTTCCCATTCCACGAGTGGAGAACTCGTCCAAACACATCCCCTCACTGCCGTGTTCTCGTACAAGCTTGAATCGGCAACGTAGCGTAATTAGGGCATTTCTCGAGGTTCATTTTTATCCACCATTGTGTTATTTACTACCTTGTCATTATTATTTGATCCCCACAATCCACCACATTTGATCGCTGACTGTGCCTTCAACTAATGCCGGATGGTTCTCCAACAAAGGCTTCAACTTTGTTCAGAGAAAGGTAGTAGCAAAAAACTAAGTTTATTAATACAAACCTCTGTTTCACAACCATTAAACAACGTTCAACAATAGATCACAGATTATATCACAATTATTTAAAGATGAGCTTGTTTTTTCGCCAAGTTTTCGGCAAGTTTATCCATGAATTCAAACGTGTTCAGATAATCTGCACGCGTAACACTGAAAAGACAGAACTGAGAGATAGCAAAAACTATAGCAGGTAACCGGTAACCATTATGCTTACTTGCTCAGGCCCTTGATACATATAGCAAGATCTTTGGTGAGGTAACCATCTTCCATGGTTTGGATACAGACCTGTAATATACAGCAACTTCAGGCACCTCATTACCATATATTAGGCGGCCTACATTATGGTAAACTTCTTGGTTGTAATCATTTATATCACCTATGTCTACGCAATTATTCTCAAAGGCAAACTATACACTCACCCCCGAATACTGGCTTTTCTATGCGCAAGGTGAACGGGTCCCCACCTACCATAGCGTACCACTTTTTCGCTCAAAAGCGCACGGAAAAGGGGTGGATGGGAATGATGAGCGGGTTCTGTCTACCGGCTCTGCTATCTTAAAGCTACAGCACTTGTATCGATACCAGAATCCCGCAGCGAAGACGCAGCCAGAGGTAGAGAACAACCAGATGTGAAGCAGCCCCGATAAGCCGGCTATGGTTAGGTTTGTGAGTGCCGTACGGCAGCACTGAGTCGGGAGGGGGCACTCTGGTACCACTACACTTCAGCTCTGTTCCCGGATTTGAGCGGAGAAAGTGGCGCGCTACTGGTGCTGTAAAGCCATTCTCATTGACCCTTCTAATGAGTTACCGATAGAAAAGACCATGAGAAGAGCTTCGCAGTCTTAAGCAGGCTTTGCGTTAGAGTATTTCACGTGCAAAAAGCTATGACCAACCTTTTCAAGATTTTCTGCAAATCTTGCCAGTTCCTCGTTATGGTCAAGTAAAGCTCTGTGAGCCAAGCCTCGAGTCCAAGCGAAGATAGATGCTGAAGCAAAGACACGAATCAATGATTCGAATAAATGTAAACCATAAAAACTGGCAGTGGCGGCTAAAGAACGTACCTATTGGATTAGTCGAAGTCTCCTGACCCTTCTGATGCATGCGATAGTGGCGAGTGACAGTACCATGAGCAGCTTCTGCTTCAACGGTTCTGCCATCAGGGCACACTAACACCGATGTCATGAGACCCAACGACCCGTATCCTGCAAATAAAATTATATTGTTCCGCACAATTCGAAGTATTCCTAGGATTGTGAAGAACCACAGGGAAGGTGAGGCGATCAAGACAATCGTAATTTGCTGCTCCGTTGCACTGGCGTTTCGTTGTGTTGCACTGGCTGGATATGAATAGCGGATTTGGTGCAAACTGCGAAATTGGGGACATTTACGCCTTTTGCCTACACCCTGTCAAGTGTCGCTATTTACGACCTAGAAACCTCGTCACTAGCGCTCGCGACGCCCATCAGCGCAACGAGTTACGACTGCCTTGTCATACTACAGGAAAATAACGCAAGACCAATATATGGCGCACCTTGAGCGACGGAGTCAGACTGTACGTCACCGTCATAATTCTTGCATGCCCAAACAAACCCGCCATTGCTTTTCATTGCTTGGGCTACCATATCATCTATGAGCCGGTGTTCATACCAGATACCAGCAGCCTTGTATTGGGATTCATACTCCTGAAAAAAGACTTCGAAAATTAGTTCGAGCAGCTTGCGTATGGGCTTGCAGTGCTGCCAACACAACTGACCGGATAGATCTCTGCGAAGATGTCCTTGAATCTACCATCGTACTTCTTCAGAATAGTGTTCTTGGTGGACAAGTAGAGGGGATAACCTCGCTGAAGGGCGTACTTGAAGGATGCATGAGCAAAGTCCCTGAAAAACCCTGAATGCGCATAGGACATGCTAACGCTAGAGCTGTTGGTTGCGATGCTACATGCTCTCCTGGTTGTCAATTCGCTGACGAAAAAATTTCAAAAATTTGCCGAGCTGACGACTCCAAACCTCACGGAGCGAGTCCCATAACGTATACGAAACCTGAGCTCTATGAAGGATCCTCACCTGATTGATTCATCAGTGTTATACATTGAGAGTGACACTCCAGGTCCCTTGAACTCAAACACCTCGTGTTTAATCTCCTCGCCACCGTCAGCGGGTACAAATCTGATTTCCAACTTGCCAGCTCCCGGAACGACAAAATCAGTGGCTTTGTACTGAAAATTGTAGATGTTTTACTAAACCTCCATTATAAAAAAAAACGTTCCCACAAACCTGGTCAGCGTGAGCATGACGGCCAATTATGATTGGTTTCGTCCATGTGTTGACAAGCCTTGGAACATTCTTCACAATGATAGGTTCACGGAATACAGTACCTGAATGTGATGTGTCAGTGTACAAAAGGAATAATCGACAGAAGCATCAAGGGGACGGATTTCAGATAACGGAGACAACAGTGTGTCCAAAACCATCTAGAAAGGACGAAATCCTGCATCTAGCAAGTTTATCTCTCATTTCTCCGGCTACTGACGTCATTAAAGGCATGCTCTGGCGGATATGAGGGTTTTAAGTGGAGGCGATAAAGACAGAACGAACAATCGAAAATGCCCTGATAAGGACGCCTTCAAGTGCCTCTAGCAGCAGTGAGGTTGTGTTGTGAGTTCAGTTCTCAATTGTTGCAAGACTCAGCTCATTTCCATTATCAGGTCTTTTTCACTATTATCACATTTTCAATTTCTATTCAGTTCCCGAAGTCACAGCAATCGCTAAGGGGTGAATTAGTTGCTGAGCGCCCAAACAATTGCATAGGCTCATCTGCCCTTAAATTTCACCTTACAGCAGGCCTTCCATAGCATCAGGTTATCGCGGACTGTTCTTTAATGTTAATATCACTACTGAAGCGTTTCATTCGCTTGCTTCGGTAGGGACTCTGTGCTATACTGATAGAATACTCCAATCGTTATCAACTAGCGGCGCTGCTTCCAAACAAAGAACGACTTATAATTCTTAATACGAGAACATTTTCCGAAAGCCGCGCCTCATGAAGGAAGAAATACAATCACGAAATCCTCAAGACGGTGAGCTTTGCTACAGCAACATATATCAAAGAAACACTCCATCATCAGCGTGTAAAAACACGTGCAAAGGGCTTCCAATCTACTACAAGAGGCGCTGTTCAGCTTGGAAAGGGCGTTCTGCACTTTCGCTAGCTCCTTTTGTTAGTTCATGTAGCTTTAGCATAAGCTTTTGATTTTGCGAATTCAAGAGTTTACTCCAATCTACAAGGTAACCGCAGTTGATGACTAGGACTAGTGCCCTTCTTTTGCACAGCTTCTCATTTCCATTCTCATAGAACTACGGCAACTATGATAAAAAGAAGAGGTGGACCTCATTCTCGAGTTGAGGTCGATTTTCGGAATTTTTGCTTTTAAAGGATGCGATAGGGACCAAAGGAGGGTGGTAATTAGAGGCTGCTAACTTTGTTAAATAACCTGGGTACGGTCGCATTCTCTGATCGAAATCCATGATCTTTTGGCGTAGCCTGATCCCCACATGCGGTCTTCGCATTGCCGAGTAGTAGAGAAAAATTGAGTATTTCTGAATGAATTCAAGCGTGACGTCATCCATATTTTGAAGTCGATTAAGGTGGACTGTGGTCCTTACAACGGTGCTAGTATCCAGTGATACCGCTTTGAAGTCCCACCAATAACACACTGAAATCTTTATCCCATGCACATCTTTTGGCTAAGCAATCTACTTTTCTGTTTGAGAGATCCTGCGAGGGACATGTGCATGATGTACGCAAGGACTCCAACACTCGCTACCAACCACAAGATCTCACAAAAGTTCTTTCGCTGTGTACAAGGAAAAGAAAACTCAGTCACGGTCATTCGGTATGACTTGTCAGACGGGTCCAACTCATGAGGCATCCTTCACAAAAATTTTTTCCGATAACCGAGATTGCGGAGAAGCATGGCAGTTGTCAGTCAGATGGAGCCTAGAGAGGTCGCCAACTTACCGGTGGTTACGTTCGGCTGCGCCTCAAGAAGCTTGAGTAAAGGGCCGTCATTCTGTGCTGATGGGCGACCTATACATTGCCTAACTACGAGTTGAATAAGTCCAGCCTGGAAGCGCTGATGCACAAGCTACCTTCTGCCATGGCAAGCGATATTTCCTCAAGACAACGTAAGTG